TTTTTTTTTTTTTCCTTTTTTCTGGGGAATTTTGGGTCGGTTTTACCCTGGCAGAGGAGCTGCAGCTTGTCCCGGTTTTCCACCTTTATCTTAAGCCGCTTGGAAGCAGCGGCGGGTGGTGAGGAGAGGCTCCCTGTTCYCTCAAAGAGGGCACAGATTCTTATAAACTTACGTCACACCTAGTTCATTTTTCCATATTTTGCCCATTTATTATTGAAAAACTCCAAATCTAAGTCTAGACTTTGCAGTTGCTGACTGGAGGTTAAGCTCCCACTCTGATGCGTTTATTACAAGTTCACTCTGATGCATTTATTCATCACTGTAGGTCTCTCCTCGCTCCCATGGGCAACGTGACCGCYTGGCCATTGCCGAGACAGGCAGGTTTTGCCAAGGGGATTCCCTTTTCCCATGGTTTGCTCCCTGCTTCCAAATAGCCTGGCGCTAAGTCATCGGGATAGCCTATTTTWTCCCATATTTCCGTGTGGATTGCCTAGGAATGATGGTTTCCGTGTAGACACAGCACCTACTAATGTGAGATGCGTGTGTGATTTGAGCTGCAATATTAGCTTTTCAAAGCTTGTGGTTATTGGCAGTTGAAAATTAAATAATAATAATAATAACTATTTGCTAGTTCCTGTAGAGTTTTTGGCCTAAACGTTTCCCTCAGTTTCATGAATTATTTCCTCAAAAATACTTATTTCTCGATATCTGCTTGTTTATAATGCTTGTTTCTATGATAATGTATGTACTGATAGTACCCACAAAGGAGGTATCTGCAACGTGCATAAAAGCTGTGTTTTCCCATAGGGTCTTCTTGCCTCCCAGAGAGACATGAGGAGGGAGATAGGTCTCTGTATTGGAACTCTGCTCCCAGCTTTCAAAATAATCCAGAAAATTCAGGAGATTTGGCCAGTATTCGTATTAGATAAATCATTTCCTTGCCATGAAAGATTTCTTTTTTTTTTTTTTAATTTTTTTTTTTTTTAATTTTTAGTCCTCTTGCGTAGGTTGCACAGGATCAGATTATTGGGAAATAAATCCTGTTCCTTACAACACCTGAAATATCTTACGACATCTACAGCAACCCCAATCTGGAATTGTTATGGGGCCAAAGATTTGGCATCTCCCTTGCACCACTTTTCTTTTCCTTGTCTTTTGATCTGAAAAGTTAGAGAAGAAACCTTTGGCATTTTGCACATTAGTTAGGATCCTCTTACTAATATATATTGTAGTTTGTGATCTGTTTTGATGATTCCTGTGACTTGGCAGCTCTAAAACAGTGTMTGAGAAGAGCCCATGCCTTTTGCTGTGAGTCTTTCTGTAAAAAAAAAAAAAAAATGAAAGGTGGAAGTAAATATTGGCACAGCAGCTATGAAAGCTAAATTTTATTGTTATAATACGTAAAAGGAAGTCACTCCTGCTTGTTCTGTCCAAGGTAACACTTGAATATGTTAAAGAATAAATCAGTGAAATTTGCACAGTTAAATTTTAATGCTTTAACTAAGCACCTCAGTTTCTAATAGATTTTTGAAGTTTGGGAAAATTTGATGGAGTTGCTTTCTTGTCCAGTTCAGGCCTTGCTGATGGTTGCTCGCGTCAGTCAAGGTTTCCTGAAAACTGAAGTGACTTTTAATGTGCAAGAACGGTTTTAGAACCTGCCTGCGAGTTTGATCTGCTGCTTCCCTGACCTGAGCTATGGACTCAGTTTTGGCTGCCTGGTAACTTCTGAAAATTGCAAGCAGCGTTTTAGCAACAGTTTCTATAAAACGAGCTCTAAAACAAACTGTAGAACTAGATCCTGTTAACTGTGTAGCAGTTCTTGAAGTCTTGCAGCTCTGGAAGGAAGAGCTGCAAYGTGTGTATTTAATTTGCACCTTGGCGTGTCAAAAACTTTCAAAAACTGAGTCATTAAAGAAAAAGTGAGTTATTTCGTAAGCTGTCTGTGACTTTTGAATTCTGTAGCTGCTTGATGTGGCTTTACAGCCTCATCTTCTCTAAAAGCAAAAGGTGCTTTGCCCCTGTTTCTGTACAGCTCGGTCCCATCACCAGAGCAGCACTGAGCAGCAGTAGATTACAGTCATTCTCTCCCAGCTTGCACAAAAACCCCAAAGCTCTTTTTTTTCCAGAGCTTCAAGCCTTTGAGAGCTACTGTGTCCTGCAACGGGTGCTCTGCGGCTGCAGCTCCACTTGTTGAAAGGGATTAAAGGAGAGATCAAAGGACAGAACTTCAGCTGGAGTCGTCTTTATTTTCACTTGCTCTCCTGACTCCCGGCTTTTCTTTCACCTTTAGAAAATCACTTTGATTTTCCAGGAGGTGACAAGCACTGTGGAAGCTAGATARTGTTTTTATTTCTTCTTTTTCTTTTTATCCTATTGACTTTCCTTAATTGGGGCTGGACAGTAACATGACTGAAAATATCAATGGCTAATTGATGCTAGGGCTACCTGCAGCGATGTTGCTGCAGCTAGAGATTGCTTGGAAATTGCAGCTGGAAGCACAGCAGTAAATCCAGAAAGGTTTGTTTGGGGTTATTTTTGTAGGGTGTTTTTTTTTTTTTTTTTTTTTTTTTTTACATCCAGGTTTTAATTACCACTTAGGGAACTGAGAATTTGAAAAGCTTGCTTGTTTTTACATTGTTTTCAGATACAGCAGAAATTAATTTAGGACCAAGGTTTTTAATTTTTAAATTGACTCTTTAAAAACTAAAAAATCAGTATTTGGGCCTTAATGCCATGCTTTCAACCAACCAGCAATTAAAACCATAGTCCTAAGCCCTCCAAATGGGCTACATAGCTTTTTGTTATCCCACTGTAGATAGGGGATTATTCACATGGCTTTTTTGTTTGTGCAGTTTAAGGYTACGTTTTTTGATAAATATGAGACTGATATGATTTACAAGATGCCACAGATCATCAAAGATRTATTTTGTAATCTATTTTAATATAACTTTTTCAATGCATGCTTTCTGAGGATAGCAGAGGGAAGTACTAGCCGCTGTCTTAATTTCTTTCTTCCAAGGCTCTGTATTATTCTGACCTGGTATCCTTAATGATAAGCAAAACCATCTCTCTCACACACCGACGCACAGATATATATTTTTTTTCAAAGCCAGACAGAGCTAGTAGCGCAATGTCAGATGTAGCATAAAGCAGAGAGAGCACTGAAAATGTACAGAAAGGTACTTTCAGTGCAGGTGAGCTTTCAAAGGAAAACAATTTTATTGCAAAAGCCTTTGGTAATGGAGTGGATGTAACAMTGTTAAAGGGACAAGTTTATTGATTTATTGTTCTGCTACACATTTACTTTTCTCTTGAAACTTCAATTGCTAATTCAGGTAAATGATATTTGCGCTTTAACCTTCTAGCAATGTTACATCTAAAATAAAATCAAGAAACTCTCTTTTGAAATGGCAGTATGGTCACAGATCCACACACTGAATCCTGCCTGTTTTTTCTCAGCTAAATGAASACTAACTGAAAGTAGCAAGATAAATTAACAAGACCTGAAATCCTGTCCCAGACAGCATGGATCAAGTGTTCTAAAATCCTGTCACTTAAATTTAGGCCATGCTGTGATTGGGATCACTTTTTCTTTTGTTTGGTTTGTACAAAGATGGAAAACATTAACCAAATGCTTATTTTTCTCTTTTTTAGTTTTTTAAAATATCTGTAAATACCATCTGGTTAATTTAAGAAGCAATTGGAAAGAAATACTGTTAAGATCTCAGTTGTTATTTTATTTGCAGGACAGATACAGACTTTCCATGCTTGTGTGTGCTGGTGGCTTTTGACTTCCTGGGCCCAATTGTTCCAATTGCTTTTTCAGATTGACTCTTGGTGCAAGGAAAATAGCTACGTGATAGCTGGATATTACCAGGCAAATGAACGTGTGAAAGACGCCAGGTGTGTTGGTGCAATATCTCCTTCTGTTTGCTCTTTTATGCTGTACTTTGTACTCTGCCAGCAAAAATCACTGACATAAATGGTGAATGTTGAYTAACTTTGACACCCGTCATGTGTTTTCACATTGTCTTCGTGGTGCTGGTGGATACGGCTTTTGTTCAGGTGCAGAAACCTCAGTCCTTCCTGAATTTCTCCTCTTCAGTGGATGTTATAGCAGGCCACTATTTGAATGACTGCCAGCCAATTTAATTGCAATTAGCAGGGAAAAAGCCAGGTTTTGCAGGTGGTTTGCTTATGCAATAACTATTTTCTGAACTCTAATTAATGTCTCTACCTTTTGGAAAGTTTTTCAGAAGTGATCTAATTCTTACCACGTTGCTTAATTGTCCCTGAGTAAAATACTTCTTTTCTTATGTAGTCAAGGGACTGTCATAAAAAGGAAGATGATGTCAGCCAAGCAGAAATCCTGCTTTTTGCCTATTTTTTGCCACAGGAGTAGTATTAATGGACAAGTTACACTTGCATAAAAGTGAACGTCCTCTAGTGCATGTGTTTTCTGTAGGAAGCTTTAGAAAGCTCTGCTTTTGAAAAGGAGGTATAATTTTCCAATTAATTCATTTTTTTCAGAAACCTTGCCCTGGTGGTTCTGGTTAGATACTAATTGACAGTTATCGTTACCTAAATTCTATTTTCCATGTAGAATTTCACAAAATATTTTACAGATAAAACAAGAGTAAAAAAACCTAAAAAGACAAAGCCTATAGTTACAGCAGTGATAGGAGAGAGCAGAAAAGTAACCAAACCAACACATATGTTGGAAACGCCCCGTTATAGACACACAGTTATCAAGAGGAAATAACATTGCTTAGAATCGATATTTAATATATATGCTGTATATCTGCAGTAAGCATTTTGCTGCTCAAAAACACATCTCCTGAGCATATCTAAGATTCAAATCATGTGCTGAAGCGAGGAGCTAGGGTTTTCTTGGCCTCCTGACTTAAATCAAATATAGCATCAGCTTGATACCTTGTTCCTGTTTATAAGTACACAGTGTAATTTTCACATCTCTTTAAGCATATTTCCTGCTGGCTTGAGCTCAAGTGTCAYGGTTCAGATAACAATTATTTTTCACCTTTTTCTGCAGCCCAACCCAAGTTGCTGAAAAGGTGGCCTCCAGAATCGCAGAAGGCTTTAATGATACAGCACTCATAATGGTAAATTACTTCCTTTCCCTACTGTTAATATTATGACCGTGGTATAGGACTGACCATTTAAATGCCATTCTCTGGACCTTTTAATGGTGAAGTGACTAATTTGCCCTTTCCTACCAAATCCTCTGGGGAAGATAAACCATCATTTTTTAGCCGGTGGAGTTGTTAATAAGTGTGCAAAGTGGCTGCCGTTAGCTCTGCTTTGTCACAGAGGAAGTGGAGACTTTCTGTGCTTACAAGACATTCACAAAGGTGGCATATTCATTAATTCAGAGCCTTTCTGTGATTTAAATGTRTCTTGCATGAAACAAATGATGCTTTGCCTTCTTGTCGCAGTTACAAAGAACATAGGTGGTTTAAACACGTGAAAATCTGCCAGTTTGAATCCAAAGCTGTGAATGAGTTAGTGTAAGGTGCCTTGTTTGTAAAAACTGACTTTTAAAAATCACATCTCTTTACTTGGGGTCCTGAGGGGAAGAATAAGACCATGGTCTCCTGTTACTCTCCAGGTTGATAACACTAAGTTCACAATGGAGTGCGTAGAACCTGCCATCCACGTGTACGAACTTCACGAGAACAAGTGGAGGTGCAAAGACCCACACGTGTGAGTAAACCTGAGACATATAAATCAATCTGAGTAGTGAGCAAAAGATGCAGCCTGGTCAAAAATGTATAGCTATAAGGGCAAAACTTTCATTGTAGCTAAATGATATCGTAAGGGTGGTGGGTGTAAACTGAGAGGGAACAGCCACCTTTTAAAGCCCAGGCAGCGTGTGCCCCTGCTTCACCGTGACCACACTGTAGAGAGTGACACATCTCCAGAGTGAAGGAGAGGATGGGGATTTTTCTGCGATGATGATTAATTCTGAGTTATTTTGCTTCCTAGTGATTTTTGTGAAGATTGGTCTGAAGCCCAGAGAATTGCTGCATCCCTCTTGGACAGCAAGTCCTATGAGACACTGGTAGATTTTGATAATCACTTGGATGATATCCGGAATGACTGGACAAACCCAGAGATCAACAAAGCCGTCCTCCACCTGTGTTAAAGAGACTTGTACTGACTAATTTATGGGCCTTTCCACTATGTGCTGAAGATACAGAAATGATATTTTTGAATGTAAATAGAGTAATGTTCAGTACCGTGTGTGGAAACCCGACTGATTAAAAAAGAGTGACATGTCACATTGCAAAGAGTGATGTGTCCTCAAGCAATCCAATCTTTTTAATAAGATTCCGTGAAAGAACTGCAAMCTGTCAGGTGCAGCTGCCCCTGTGGATGCAGTCCCAGTTGCAGTGAATTTTGCTCTAGCGTTCAAAACCGAAGCTACTGCTTGTCCCCATTGTTCATATTAACAAGTTTTAACTAAGCTTTTGTAATATTTAAATAATTTTTAAAGATCTGCGAAGATATCTTTCAGAAGAATCAGTCTTGTGCTCAAATGAGATATTTTAAGGTCAGATACATAAACAAAATCCAAGGCGAACTGGTCCTTGGGCGTTGTATCAGGGCAGCAAAAGGTGCTGAAGATGATGTACCATGCCCCCATGGCACCTGTTGTGCAGCAGTTTTGCATGATGCAGTTACAGATAACGTGTTAAAGCAATATTCCCAAATCCGACAGTGATTCCTGCTCTCCCTGGGCTTACAGCCTCAGTTATTGCCTGAAAAAGTTATAAGCAAGGTAAAAAAAAAAAAAAAAGACTGGAAACGCATTGATGATTTTGAATGAAACTTCCAAAAGAGTTTCTCYATGAAGGAGAGGAGAGGGGAATACATATTAATTTTATGCAGTCTTTTCTGACTGTTTTTTGAAACATCTAATTTTCAATAAATGCATATGGTGTCCATTTAAGAAGGTCTAAAAAATGTATCTCCAAGTTGAAAGCAAATGATCCAAGTATGCTGGATCAARAAATCCAGAGCTATTCTAGTTAAGCTTCTTTTTCTTTCTAATCAATGTTGATTTCTAAGAATAAGTTTACTGGTCAAAGAGAAAGCAATTGTAGTTTCATTTCCTTTTACATTATTTTTATATGTTTTATTTTTTATCAGGTGCACCAGACATAGTGCGTCTTACCTGCTCTTTCTTTTCACTACATTACTGTAACTGCTAAACCTGGTGAACTTAATGAACTCAGCAGAAGCAGTTTCAGTGAAAGAAAAACACTTGGCTGATGCACTGTTGTTGTACCATGGGCCCCACCACCTCAAAATGCATTTGGTGTGGGGAGTGTCTGTTGGATCTTCTGTGGAATTTTTGATGGAGAAGAGAAAAAAAAGGCCTGATGGATGGACAACCTGTCCACTCTGGTTACCTGGTGTCYGATGCACATGCCAGCCCTCAGTCTGGGACTGGGAGTGACCAGTTCTTAATGAGTCCTGCTGTCTTGCTGCTAATGCACGTTTGTCAAGTTAATGTAGCCTCAATCTTTTGGCTGTTTCTCTCAGTTTCCTACCCCTCCCCCGTAAGTTTTTACAGTGAAGATCCATGTCCACCGAATGATCCAGCTGTCTCCAAGTTCCTCCCTCTTTTTTTATTTTCCTTATTTAAAAAAAAAATGAGGAATGGGATTGTGTCGACTTCTTGGTCTACCTCTGCTTCTGTTTAGATAAGCACAAGTTTTAGTCTCGGTCTTAGTGAGAGACAAGATAAGGCTGAAATAGTAAGCAGCAAATAGAATGAGCTGTCCCATTCAGTCCCACTTTGGCCCTAACTGCAGCTCCAGTTCAACAGAACTATTATGTCTGAGGCTTGGTTCCCTGTCCAAGGAAGAGAAAGATAAAGGTTTGAATTTAATGGGTCTGTTTGACCCCTTCTCTACAGTAATAAGGTATGATGGGGGTTGCGAAAGGGATTGGCACTTTTGTGCTGAAGGAAGACAATACAAATAGTCTTCCTTAAGCATGAGTCAGAAACACTTGTGGGAGAGGGAAATGTTTTCGCTTGCTGAATGAAAACCAGCATGTAGCTGACGAGCAGTGAGATGAGTGTATTTCCGAGCCTGTTTTCCTACCCGTCTCTCAAATTTCCTAGGAACAGCAGCGTTCTGGCGGTGTGTGTTCAGAGCAAGCGGCCCGGATCACGCGTTTTGCAGGAAAGGAGACTGTTGTCTCACTTGGTGCAAACATCTCGTGAAGTCTCATCTATGGTTTCCAGAGACAGATGTTATCTTAGCAAGACATGCTGCATTAGTTATGTGAGGTTATTAGCCAACTCTGAAATATAAGCTGGTGTGTCTCCTGAGCCACAGGAAATGTATTTCTCATTCTCTGTAAGTAGATGTCATATAACCAAGCTTTGTTCATATATATGTTAATACAGTCTAATCTGCCCTTGCATATACCACCCTTTCTTTTCCTCTTAACACTCACCAAGATGATAAATGACTTGGAAAGAACATTTTTTTTTTTCCTTAAGTTGCAAAATAAAATTAAGACAAAGCACAATGCGTGTCATCAGGCTGTAATCCGAGGGAAATGATGAATGCTCTGGGGACCAACCACTGGGACAAGTTGCCGGAAGGGGAGCAGCTTCAGATATTTTATCTTTCCATTTTTTAATCTCTCTCTGTTTGCTTTTGCTTTTCAGCAAGGTCTGTCCAGTGTTTTGCCACCAGTCGAGGCAAGGGCTGGTTTTAAGCAAAGAGGACAAGCGCTGCAGTGCTCAGATCTTATCTCGCCTCTCTTATTTGCATTGAAGGCTGAACAAAAGACAGCAATTTCATAAAGCCAAGGCAACCCAGAGCAGCCCATGCAAAAGAACGAGGAAGCTGCTAGGCTCTGAGAAGGCTGTATTCTCTTTTCCTGATTTACCCGTGACAACAACTGCTTTCCTGGCTTGGGGATCCAACTGGATTAATTAGAGAAACTCAAGGTAATTCCTTTAAAACATTTTTTTTKAGGRAAAAAAAAAAACTTGGGAAAGGAGCTTGCATGTCCAGTAGTGGAACGCTCAAGATAGCTGGGAAGATTTCACTAGGAAAGTGTCTGTCTCATTTGCTTTTTTAGCAATTGGCAACATGCAGAGTTAGGTTTTTTCCCCCTCATTCACCAAGATCTGAGATGTTGGTGTCTGCCTGCCCAGCAGCTCTTTCTCTTCACCTCTTCTGCAAGACCTAAAGCACTTGGAGATGCAAAACTCCTCCAGCAATGTGTCAGGTTCCTTTTTTGCCACTGTCAACCCTAATGTTTTACAAAATCGGTAATAAACAGACTCTGTAACTAACTGAAAACAGCTCCAAGTGCTTGGATTTTTGAATATGAGGGTCTATGTTACTCTTTGCTGGACGTGGATGAGTGCTCATCTTTAATAGCCGTGGTGAACAGGCTCGAGCATGTGTCAAGGGGTTGCTTTAAAGGCCATTTTTGTTTGGAATAGAGGTTGGATTGATCCAATACATGAGTTGCCCCAAGGCAGGCCSGGGGGCAGAGCATGTGCAGCTCCCTGGCCCCAAAGCTCCACGTTCAGCTCGGAGCATGAAGCCTTTGKGGCCTGTGTTCGTTGTTTGCCTTGAGGACTGGGCACATCCCGGAGTCCTAGAGCGTTCAGGCTGGGACTAGATCCCTGGTGGAAGTGATTCCTGGTGCTCCCGCTGGCCTGTGCAGTGCTAAGAGCACGAAGAGCAGATGCCTGATGAGCCCATGCCCTCTGGCCAGGGCTTGTTTTGGTCTTTCCCCTTCCCGAGACGCTCGGATCTCAGCGTGGCGGAGAGCGCTGGCTGCTCTGTTCCCCCYGAGCTGCTGTTGTGTTTGGACCCCAGGGTGCCACGTCTTCCTTGTGCCTGCTCTGCAGCGCTCCAGCCCTGCTCCACACTGGGAGATGATCCCTCGTCCCAGGAAGCTCTTATCTAAGTGGCAGAGACGCACGCGGAGGGAGGTGACAGTGACAGATGCACCAAGGAAAGCGGCGCCTCCRCTCCCTGGCTAGAGACCTAATGGCTGCGCTCGTGAAGCGTCTCGGGATGCTCCGGTGGAGCGGCGGGATGCGGGAAGAGCAGGCAAATGTTAATGGCAGAGACGAGGGCTTGCACTTGACTGCAGCTTGGAGAACGTTCCCAAGGGCAAGGATGAGTGTTCAGGAGCTGCTTCTCATCCGTGCTTCTAATTTAGCTCCCGGAGCAGAGCTGGAGGTGGTGGAGCTGGGGCAGGAGGTTCCCGTCCCCATGTGCGGCTTTGCCGATGCATCCATTGCCACCCCCAAGCTCCTTGTTTTCCTTGCGGGTCGCCTGCACCCTGGAGCTGGCAGTGATATCATTGTGTTAATGCATCTGCTGAGGCCTCGATTGATTTTCGCTGTCACTTTTTAGAGCGGGTTTCAACAGAGCCTCCTCATCCTCCGGCACAGCCCACCTGTTTCCACTGTGATTCCTGCCTGGGGCTCACTGGAAGGCTGCACGCGGATAATCCCTGCGGATTGCGGCAGGCCCCTCGCTGTGGGATGGGGTTTCCCGTTGGGGCCCGGGGTGGGAGGCAGAACGGGCCGCCCTGGGGCGGCTGTGCGGGGACTGCCACAAGGTGGCCCTTGTTTGCAGCTCCGAGCGGGTTCAGTTCTGGCTCCCTGCCCATCTCCGCAGGCTGCTGCGCCGCTGACACGGAGCCCTTGGGCGGCTCCAGGGCTTGTCAAACCCTGACCCTGCGGTAGGTTTCGGAGCCAAACGCGCCTCCTGGGACCTTTCCCACCGCAGGCMTCAGTACCGGGGGACACAGACACACCAGGGTCTCCTGCAACCCATCGGCTGCCTTTATTTCTTAATCTGCTGCACCCCAAGCCCCTCTTGTCCATGTGCACCCCCCTGCCTTTCTTCCTAGGCGCTTTTCAGAGGCCCCAACCCCTGGGGGTACCACGTGCAGCTCTTTCCTTGGCAGATCTCGGGGCACAGCAGAGGCTTTGCACCCCTAGCCCAGCTTTGCAAAGCCCTCATAAAGTCGTCCTCCCCATGCTACTCCCGAAGCAGTTCAGGAAAACCCACTGGGATGAGTGCAGGGAGATCCTTTGTGCCGTGTGGGTGGTCAGGAACAGAACCTCCCCTACAGCTTAGGAGGGCACCTAATTGAAAAAATGCATAGTGCTTGTATGAGGGGATAAAAGGGAAATCTGGGCCCAGATTAACCTGAAGCTCAACGAGCTGAGAAACGCGGCAGACGCGGCCAGGTCTCTAAGCCAATTCCRAGGCAGGCGCTGGATCCGTGCCCGGCAGGGAAGGGAATCGCCCTGGATGGGGCTGTGGCAGGAGAGCCCAGCTCGCTGCTTCGCGCTCCAGGTAGGTGCTCGCTCCTCGCGGGGGCTGCATCCCCATGGACCTGGGAGGGGTTCCAAGCATTCCCGGGGTTTCTCTGGGGGTGTTTCCATGGATTCTGCTGGTGATTCCGTCTGCTGCTCCCGCCCGGAGCCTGTGCTGGGGAATGTTGGAGCAGCTCCAGGTTCCCAAGTCCGCATCCTCCATCGCTCCTCGGCACAGGCTCCCCCCTTCCCACGGCTTCTCCCGCAGCCACCTGCTCCCCATCCACACAGGGATTTTCTTTTCCCCTTCCCTGGGGCCTGGGCAGGGGCTGCGTTAGCAGAGCCGGTGCCTCTGTGACCCAGAAAGGTGCATCCACTTCCTCCCTCCTAAAATAAACCTGTTYGTCACCAAACCAGCAGTTCCTCCCTGCGGGGAAGCAGCAAATCCCACCTCGCCGTGGAGCTGCAGTCCTTCGTGGGCTTCTCCGGTGTCCCATAAGCTGCGCTCCGCAGCTGATGGGTTTTTTACAGACGGGGTTTTGTGACTCATCTCTTCCCTGAGGTTTTCCTTGCAAAGCTCTGAGCTCATCCCACTGGCTGGACCCAGGCACCTCAAGAGACCCTCTGAGAGACCCTCAGACCCCACCAACATGTCCAAGGAGGCCTTTGGTTTTCATCCTGGGGCAGAAGGCTGTGGAAAGCCGGGGGTGGGCGCAGTGKATGGAGATGTATCGCAGCCCACAGAGCAGCCCACAGTTATTTTAGCACACTAATATCTACCTCCCAGCCACAGCTTTCGGTCGCTCCCGCAGCCCTTGCTCCTATTTTAGYGATAAAAGCAATTGCTGCTCCTGGCCAGGCTAATTCTAGCGCTGTTGGGCTCGGACCTTCTCGCTCTTTCCCAACAGAAGCAAACGGGTCGTTTCAGAGCATCAGAAGAGCTTGAGGAGGGGAAACTGCTGCTGCCGAAGGCTATGGCTGAGGTGGGAGCCGAAAGGATTCATCTTTCTATCCTCCGCTATCCTCTGCTATAGCCTGTCCTATCCCAAGCCTTGGAATCTGCTGCTGAGCAGCTCAAAAAACGCACACACTGGTTCATGGGCCTGTTCTCCCCGGGCGAAACCGGAGCCGCTCRTTGCAGACGTTTCTGCCCCGGTCCCCGCACGTGTTTGGGGTGCACCCGCGAGCGGGTTCTTGGGGACCCCCAGCTGCTGTTGCCTCATGCCGCTCATGCACATCCTGCTCCGGCTTTTGAGTCTAAAACTTTGCAATAACGCTGTTTTTGGGGGATTCAGAGAAGCAAAACTGCTCATTTCCCTTCYGCAGGTTCTACCCGTATCACACGCGCGGGAGCCGGGCTTGAGCTGCGTGCCGGGCTCTGCTCTCGGCAGAGGCCTCTGGACATCCTGGAATCAGCGCAGAATGATGTCCAGGTGAAGTCCCAAGGTGTCCCGTAATCCCTGTCTCTGTGAGAGGGAGCGATGAAAGCACAGAAACGGCTGCTTTTCAGCCCGGTTTGACGGGAACCGGAGGAGCCTTCCCACCGCAACCGGGGAGGAGGCGAGTAGAAAACAGCCTCGTGCTGCATACGAGGGATCCTGCTCCTTTGGAGAAGGAAAAGCTGCCTTTCCTCGTGCCCTGGGGGCTTTGCCGGGCTGGGACAGTGGGAGGGCAGGGGGATGGATGGATGGATGGATGGATGGATGGATGGATGGATGGATGGATGGATGGATGGGAGGAGCTGGGGCTTCGTTAACCTGATTAACCAGGTTGGAAACCAACCTTGGGAGCATCCCCGCCGCCAGCACAACCTCACGGCCCGGCTGGATGCGGGAGCTGGGCTGGGAATCCCGCGGGGCTCCCTGTCCCATCCTGCATCCCGGTGCGGCAGCGAGGGGGATGCCAGCGGCTCCCGGGAACAGTTAAGTGCCCCTTTGCCCGCATCCCAGCACCTTCCTCCCCCGGATCCATCCCAGCTTCACCCCCCTTTCCCACTGGGCCGGGCAGAGCCTCCAGCAACCGGAAAACTCCCCGGCCGGGGCCGGGAGCGTCGGCGGGGACCCCTGCGCCGGCGTCGGGCGCTTCCAGGTTGAGTCACCGAGCGCCCCRTGACATCAGCCGCGGTCGGGCCGCCGAGCGGCGGAGCTTCCTGTTGTGCCCAGGCAGCGAGGAGCCACGCACACACACATAAATATCTATATATTTATGTACGTGCGTGCATATAGGTGCATGCTTTTAGCGAGCGATCAAGCCGCCCGGCGCTGCCCTCGCTGGAAGCATTAGCGGCTCCGCGCTCTCTCGCAGGGCCCGCGCCGGGGCCGCCCGGCAAGGATGAAAACATGGGGCTCGAGGGCTCCTGCTTCCGAGGTGAGTGCGGCCCAGGGGGCCCCGGCCTCCTTTCCGGGTGGGAATTCCGTCGGGAATTTGCCCCGGGGTTGGGAATAGTCCCCCAAGGTTTGGGAGYGGGGAAGGAGGCGCCCGCGTGCCGTGGATGGGGGAGGCGCGCGTCCCGATGCGTTTCCCCGGACTTTTATTCCCTTCATGGAGTTGGGACGAGGCTGGGCACCGTGATGGTTCCCTCTCTATTTTTCCTTAAAAAAGCGGTGATTCTTGAATAAAATATAATTACCCCCCTCCCTGCCCACCGCCAGCTCTCTTGCATAAGGCAGGGCTTTATCCTTAATTAAAAAGAGATTAAAACTATCAGTGTCCRTCCCCGCCGGGCGCTTTGCTGCTTCGGAAGAGTTAAACCTCCGGCTCCGGCCGGAGCAGGGCTTTTCTCTTGATTAAAAAGCAGATTAGAGCTGTCTGCTCCCTGGGGGMAGGCGAGAGCCGGGCACCCGTCGGCCCCCAAGAGCCCCGATGGGCGAGGGGAGCCGGGGCTGCGTTGCTGTGGACTCTCTGGTGGCTGCTATGGGGTTGAGCTGAACMTGCTATGGTCGTGTTGCTGGCTCAGCCGGCAGCATTGGGGCAGGGTCTCCCCCATGTGTCCCCTGGTGTCCTTCACCCTCGTCTCCTGCTTCCCGTGTGCCCGAAACGGCCTTCCCAGGAGGCCTCATTGGGCTCCGACAGCCGCGGGAAGGCAGCGCTTCCCGCTGAGGCTCTTCCCGGCGAGGCCGCGTCCCGTCCTACGGGAGAGGGCACTCTTGAGACGCGCTCCCAGCTCAATCCCGCTGCAGGAACCTTCCTGCGGTTCCTCCCGACCTCGGGAGCCAGGCTCCCAACCCCTGGCAGTGCCGAGATCCCGCAGCCAGAGCCTGGGCTGGATGAGCCCCGGATTTTCCCTGTTGCTGGATAGTGCGGCAGTTCCCGGGGATGCCGGGAACTTTAATTAAGGATCACCACGCGGCCCTTYGCTCCCACAGGCGTGAAGACGTGCGTGAACGGGGATGGGGACGGGGCGCCGGGGACCCCGCGGCGCCTGCGCGTCCCG